GCTTTTCTCTGTAGTACCTCACAGAAACTGAAGAGACTGTCCAAAGGACCCGGAACATGGAGAGATTAAATCTATTCTCATTGGATCCAGATATAGATGTAAGTTGGATTTTTTTCCTCAACAGACAAACTTGAGCAGTACAATTGTAGTTCATATTTATAGTTCCTTTAAAAAAAAAAAAAAAAACTTTTTATTGTGATTTGGATGGAGGTTTCCAGAGCAAATTATTTTTCCATTCAATAGTTCATATACATTTTGTTTCTTTTTTATGATGGATGCTTGATGACCAAAACTTTCAAAATTTTCTCAGACATTGAAACTTCAGAAAAAGGATATTTTAAAACCGGAGTCTGTTATCAAACCATTTGAAGAAAAAGCTGCCAAGAGAATCATGATCATTTGTAAAGCTCTTAATTTAAATCTTCAGGGATGTGTTATGGAGAATGAAAATGATCCAGTAACAAACGTAAGTTTCTCTTCTTTTACATCTTATGCCAACAGCTAATCCCACACCATCACCCTAGTCTAAAGCGTTCTAGTTCCTGCCAATTCCAGCCACTGTTTTCTAACTATCTAGGGGACGACTGGGAGTAAGATTGATGTATACTTACGTATTACAAAGGTACACAAGTTCAAAAGTGGAGTTTTCAATAATACTGCCACAAAGTTTGCCCTCTCTCTTAAAGAAGAATCATCAAAGGGACTGTGTTCTGTGATTGTTCCCTTCAAACCATCCCAGTGGTTCCGTTTCCCAACGTACATTTGTCTCACGTTGGTGCCTTTCCAAAAGGTTTTTCAACCTGCATTATTTTAATATTTACATATTTATTTTCATGTATATTAGAAACAATTAAAACCTACATATCAATCTTGGATTTCACATATGTTATTACTTTGGAGAAAGCTAACTAAAGAAATATTGATAAAATAGTAGTACAAGTAGTACATGTAGGGGGCAGAAATTATGAAGGTGCTACACTCATTTGGAAACTACCGAAGTGCTCATTGAATCAACACAAGACTTCTTTTTCCACTAAATGAGCTCTCTTGGTAAATATTTCTTAGTTCGCTGGTGGACAGTTCTATACTGATTGTAAGTGTGTGTATGTGGTTGTGTGTGTGTGGCATTTTGTAAGCCTAAATGAACTAAATGAGATGTTTGAACAAAGGGATGCAATGCTGGAAGTGCTCACTTGTTTATGCTAAGAAATTTGGAAGACAGCTACCTGGCCAATCAACCAGAAGAAAGACATATTTGTACCCATTCCAAAGACCAAAAGGCAGTCATTTGAATAAACAAGGGGATACTGCATGGTTTAAAATCAGGAAAGGCATGTGTCAGGGTTGTATCTTTCACCATCCTTATTTAACTTGTATGCTGAGGGAGTAACCTGAGAAGCTGGATTATATGGAGAAGAACACAGTATTAGGATTGAAGGAAGACTCATTAACAACCTGTGATATGCAGGTGACACGTCCTGTGTTGCTGAAAGTGAAGACGACTTGAAGCACTCACTGATGAAAATCAAACATTACAGCTTTCAGTATGGATTACCCCTTAACATCAGGAACACAAAAGTCCTCACAACTGGAGCAATGAGCAACACCATGACACACGGAGAAAAGACTGGATTGTCAGGGATTTCATTTCCCTTGGATCCACAACCACCGCTGATGGAAACAGCAGACAAGAAATCAAAGATGTGTTGCATTGGACAAATGTGTTGTAAAAGACCTCTTTAAAGTGTTAAAAAACAAAGATGTCACTGTCACTGTCAGCACTAAGGTGCGCCTGACCCAAGACATGGTGTTTTCAGTCTCCTCATATGCGTGTGAAAATGGCAATGAATAAGGAAGACCAAAGAATAGTTGATGCCTTTGAATTATGGTATTGACAAAAGATATTGAATATACCATGGACATGCAGAACAAATGTTATCTTGGAAAAAATACCACCAGAATGTTCTGTAGATGGGAAGATGGTGAGACTTCATCTCACCTATTTTGTACATGTTATGAGGAAGGACCAGTCCCTGGAGAAGGAAATTGTGCTTGATAACCTAGATGGTCAGGGAAAAAGAAGAAGACCCTCCATGACATTGATTGCTACATGGCTGCAACGATGGGCTCAAGCATAGTGATGTTGTGAGGGTGATACAGGACCAGACAGTGTTTCCTTCTGCTGTGACAGGTCTCTGTGAGTCAGGACCAACTCAGTGGCCCCCAACAACACCAACAACAGACGTGACTAATGTTGAACTAGAGAGAAGAAAACACATTAATAATCTGATCATCAATAAAAATCATTGTTGAGATTTTGCTGTAATCCCTTATTCTTTTTCAATGCAATCTGTTACAGTGTTTAATAAATATCCCTCAATTGTCATCTTTCACCTCAAAAAAGAAAACTTACTTTTAGATCCTTCATGGAAGCTTTATTTGTTTTGAAGAAGCCTAGAAACAGCCCAGAGTTTCCGTCGTAAACTAACTGCATGCACAATCCCTTGTACCCCTCTATTTATGATGCGATGAAACCAGCCTTGTCAGTCGGTTGAGTGGGTGAGTGGTAGAAAGTATTAACTCCTCCAGAAGTCTTTAACGCATCCTTTAGGACTTTTGTGTCCTTATGTACCTCATTGATTCTTTGAGTCTCTGCCCTATAGCAAGAGACTGACACAAGCCTGTGGACCTCAGATTAAATGAGAAGAATCAGATGCTGCACTGGGTCTGATTGCCTGGCTTTACCACTGGCATGTTGTGTCCCATGGAGGAAGTTTTTACCCTTAGCTTCCTCTTCTCTAAACGGGGTAATAAGACTAATGATTTCAAATGGTCATTATGAAGACTGAATGTGGCAATATATGGAAAGTATTTAGACAGTGAGTGTTGTTGTTGTTGTTATGTGCCATCGAGTCAGACCTGACTCATAGCGACCCCTCCTTGGGTTTCCGAGGCAGTATCACTATGGAAGTAGATTGCCCAACCTTCCTTCCGAGGAGTGGCTGGTGGGTTTGAACCACCAGCCTTCTGATTAGCAGTCAGGCGCCTTAGGCACTATGCCACCAGAGCTCCCCTAATAGACAGTGAGTGGCACTCAGTAAATGATCATTAAATATTAACTATTATTTTAATGTGTCAGAAATTGCTTTGAAATTTATAAACACCAAGGATAAAACAAAATGGTATTGATATTTTCAGTGTTATATGTGAGATTCTTGTTGGAAAAATAATACAACATTGAAATGTGTCACCAGTACCGATCACCTTCTGAAATGAATTCTCCTCATAGAGTTTATAACTAAAACCAAAACCAAACTCACTGCTGTCGAGTTGGATCCAACTCATAGTGACCCCTCCTTGGGTTTCCGAGGCAGTTACAGAAGTAGATTGCCCAACCTTCCTTCCGAGGAGTGGCTGGTGGGTTTGAACTGCCAGCCTTCTGGTTAGCAGTCAGATGCCTTAGGCACTCCACCACCTATGTGAATCATAATGAGTGTGGTTGATGTCAAGTTTCTTCATTCTCCAATTTTTTTATTTAGTGTGCCTACTGTGATCTGGACTTGTTATAAGTACTGGTTATATAAGTACTTGCTATAAGTACTGTTATAAGTACTCAGGGAAGGTGAGCAAGGGTCCTGACTTCTTGAAGATTAGATTCATCTTTTTAAGGACAAGATTCTATTATGGACATGTTAAGCTTAACAGGCCTATGAAATACCCAAATAGAGATATCCTTTTAGCAGGTTTCTGTACAAATTTGGAACTCAAAGAAGCGCCCATGGATAGAGATCTTAATTTGGAAGTCTAGCCAATCAATATTCTGGAGAGAATCATTCAGGCATCTCTGTGTAAATAGAGAAGGAGCCAAACCTTCAAAGAATGAATAGAGAGGAAGTAACCAAGAAGGCTAACAAGGGACGTCCACTGCGGTACAGATGTAGCAGGGAAGAGTGGCTGATGAGGGCCAAGAGAGAAAGGGCCAGCTGCGTGGAATGGCACAGAGAAGCTGAGGAGCACAAAGGCACAGAGCAGTCCAGTAGGTGCGGCAACATGCAGGCTGTGGTGACTAAGGCACGAGCGACTCCCGTGGAGTGAAAAGTTGGGAGGAGAAATCAGAACCTACTTTCATGCAGCCTTAATAAAACACTGGAAGCTTGGTCCTTGGAGCTATTTGGAAATATTGGGAAAACTGAACCGAAGTCATAGTGTCACTTGAGCAACTCATTAAGTGAAAAATAGTTGCTAGTTTTGACTTTGTGCATCCTTCAGTGTAATTAAGAAATCTAGGGAAGAAATTGAAACTAAAAATACTGGGCTTTTCGTTTCAATGGCGGGGCATAGGACCCCTCTCCTGTGGATTGCTTTCCTTGCTTCAGGCCCATAGTTAGAAACTAAATGTTCATATTTGGGCCACTTTCTCCAGGCAAGAGAACATGCCCAGGTTCACAGGGCAATTTTTGTTTGCAATTTCACATCTGTTAGGGGATAAAGGGGATTTGAGGTCTTTTGTATGTCTGTTTTGTTTTGTTTGTTTCTTTTACTGTTGATATACAATGTAAGAAAAAAACCTAGGAAATTAGTTTTTAAACAGTAGTTTAACTTTGCTTATCCCATTGTCATTGAGTCGTTTCCAACTGATAGCGACATTGCAGGACAGAGCAGAACTGCCCACGAAGTTTCCAAAGCTGAACGTTGCCAGACTACCACACCTTTCTCCCCATGGAAGCAGAGCAGAGTGGGTGGTGGATTCAAACCACTGACCTTTTGGTTAGGAACCAAACTCTTACCCCCTGTACCACCTGGGCTGAAAACCTGTTACCACTCAGTCAATTCTGTCATATAGCGACTCTCTAGGATAGTATAGAACTGCCCCAAAGGGTTTCTAAGGCTGTAATTTTTACTGCAAGCAGACTGCCACATCTTTCTTCCATGGAGTGATTGGTGGGTTTGAACTGCCAACCTTTGACTTAACAGCCAACTTAACCACTGCACCACCAGGGCTCCTTCCTTTTGCTTATACCCATTTATCTATTTATTTATTTATTATTTTTGTTTTGAGAGCTTGTTTTACATTCCACTAAATGTAAATGTTTTACATTTAGTTTCATTCCCCATTTACCGTGTCCAACCTTAGCTCAGTCTCCTCCCCTCCCTATCCTGTAACCCTCACTCTGTGCCCCTCATAGTTATGCACTCCTGTTTGCCCTGCATTTCCTCCATGTGAATGTTGCCCCTCTGGTGCCCCGAGGCCTACTGCTCTAAGGGATGTATTACCATAGAGTATGTAGGTGCGTCATCCACTGGGCTGAATGGTCTGTATGTACATCTTGTTAACTATTGGGCTGAGAGCCAGCCCCTAGGGGTGCGTTTTATTTCAGGTGCAGAATGTATTCCAGGGCCATAGTGTTGGGGGTCTCATCAGACTCCATCTGACCAGTGATTCTGGTCATTATTGAGTTTTTGGATTTTGTTCCATGTTTTTCCTCCCACTCTATCCAGGATCTCCAGATCTGGTCCTTTCCTGAGTGGTTGGCATTGGTAGGTGGGCACCATCTAGTTCTTCTGGTCTCTAGGGCCATTGTGTCCTAGGGCTGATTGCTTCCAAATGCCCTTGTTTTTTTCTACTCTTCTTCTCTTCTGACACTAGGAGACCATTAGCTGCATCTTAGATGGCCACTTGAAAGCTTTTAAGACCCCAGGTGCTATTCTCCAATGTAGGATGCAGAACAAGGATTTTATGTATTTTGTTGTGCCAGTTGAGTCTGGTGTCCCTCAGTACCATGGTCCTGAGACAGTAGATCTATTGGATCTCTCTCCCATAGTGTCTGGTTGTCTGTGAGGCACTATTCTGTATACACAACATTAAAAAAAAAAAAAAAAAAGCAACTAATAAAACAACTTCACCTTAACAAGAGTTTGTTTTCTAATGGATCACTCTTCAAACAGTTTTTGTACACTTATTCAACAGTGCTCCTTTATTAATATAACTGTGTTTAAACTCATTGTTTTTCATTCAATAAGCATGATTTTAAATGAAATATTTCTCCAAGTTGCTGAAGAGCACCTGCTGCATTTAATGAATGAGCATCTAACAAGACTCCATAAAAGAATGTTTTCCTGATGAGGAAACAATATTTGACAGCATGTAATTTTGTAGTCAGTAAATTGAAAACTAAAGTCAAGTTGATGGTTTTATAGTATAAAATATTTCTTTGAAAATAGGAATTGATTCCCAAAGTCTGAATTAATAAAGCTGCTTCACAGTAGAGCTTCATTTAAAATTTCATGTTCTTAAATTTTTCAAAAGAGAGTACAAAATTCTAAACATAAGAAACCTTATGACTTAATTTGTTAGTTTTCAAAGGGTTTTTTTTTTTTTTTTTCCTTTTTTACCAAATTCTTAGTGAATAGCCCAGAGACTTGAAAAGTAAAATTTGTCATTTAACTTGAATTGGTGGGTTGCAAGAAATAAATGAATCACCATGTGAGCTTTAGTTTCTGACAGATTATCAAAGTAGGTAACTTATTTCCATTCACAAAGAAGAAATGAAAATCAAAATGCAACAATTCAGGAAAAATAACAAGGATTACACATTGACCTTAAGTATGTTTTAAATTCCTACCTGGGTTTCTTTTATGTAATTTTTCCATTCTTTGTCTCTTGACAGCTACTACTACCACAAACCAAGTTTCTCTAAATTAGTGAAATATAAAACTTTTGCTTTGCAGTTGCTTGACTTTTCAAAAAAACAATTATTATCATATGTCATATCATATGTAGATTTATATTTCTGACAGCAAGGGAGCTGGCAAATATTGCTAATCTCAGGGAATTGAAGGAGCTCTGGTAGCATAGTGCCTAAGGCACTTGACTGCTAATCAGAGGGCTGGTGGTTCAAACCCACCAGCCACTCTTCAGAAGGAAGGTTGGGCAATCTACTCCCATAGTGATACCGCCTCAGAAACCCAAGGAAGGGTCGCTATGAGTCGGGTCCAACTCAACAGCATGTAACAACAACAACAACAGGGAATTGAACTCATCCTCCTGTTATAAATTACCCTTGTACTACATATCATAAGACACAAGATATGCCACTGAGCATTCAATAAAACCCACAGAATGTGTGTCTGTGTAATGATGACCTGGCCATGATGTGCTCTTGTTATGTTACTTTCTTGTCCACAGAAGACTGACACTAATCAAAAGTAAATAGTGTAAACAAAAATAAAGAAGGTTTTTGGGCTTATTTTATCTTTAGAACCTGGAGATGGATGGTGAGAGACAGATAGATGGATGAGTCCTTGATTCCTCATCTTATTTAATCTTTCTGTTTTACTTGACATTTGTTCTAAACACCATTTCTTCTTTCTTGACTCTACTTTCTGTGATACTCTGTTATCATTTAAAAAATTTTATGAGTTTGTTGTTTTACATTTATCTCCACTCATTAGTCTTGTTAATAAGCAGTTTCCATACCCCCATCACTGTCCTGTGCATGTTGGTATTTCCCAGGATTCCATTCTGATCCCCTTCTCTTTTTCTCCTGTCTTAAACAAGAATCACCACACAAAAAATTATCAGGCCCACATTTCCAATTCAATTTTCATAACTGGACTCAAAAATCACATATTTAGCTGCTACTGAGATATTTCAGAGATGACTTATGTGCCTCCTTACAGAATTCATTTTTATGCTGGATCACAGGTTGCTGGGATGCTAGAAGCTATGAGACCAGTATTTCAAATATTAGCAGGGTCACCCATGGTGGGCAGCTTCGAGACCAAAACAGAAGAAAAGTCTGGCTATCTATTTCTAAAATTTAGCCAATGGAAACCCTATGGATCACAAGAGCATAGTCCAATACGGTGCTGGAAGATGAGCCCCTAGGTTGGAAGGCTCTTAGAATGCACAGTGGCCACAGTCATGACCTTGAGCATATGAGTAATTGTCAAGATCCCAGGCAGGGCAGCATTTCATTCTGCTGTACACAGGGCCACCATAACTTGGAGTGGACTCAGCAGCAACTGAAAACGACAATGAATTAAAAGTTTCAAGAACAATGACAAATGCATAGTACATGTGACATAGATGTCTGATATTATTGCTAGGCTATGGAGTTATGATGGAAAACTGAGAAGTGATTGAGTCGTGGGATATTTCTCAAAGTACAGTCTAGAAATTTCTCAGGCTCTGCTGTTGACTTCCAGGGACTTGGGGAGATTATGATAGCAGTTTGAGAGTGTAGGGAAAATAGCTACAAGTATTTGTATTGTGCATGTGCAACGTTTGGAAGAGACTGCCTCGCGGGGCAACTAGAATGGAGGAACCAATGAAATGCAGTCCTAAGATCTGAGACACCTGGAGAAGGTTTCTGTGTACTCCTCCTGCAGTCAGGGGACCTTGCTCCCTGCATGTATTTTATGCACCGCTCCGTTAAAGAGTGGACTAGAGAGGATGTTGCATGCGTGATGATTTCATTGCAACACCTTCGGTTCTTTCTTCTTCTTGCAGATTGAGCCTTTTTTTGTGAGTGTGGCACTTTATGACCTCAGAGATGGCAGAAAGATTTCTGCAGATTTTCACGTGGATCTAAACCACGCTGCAGTCAGGCAGATGGTCTCAGGGGCTTCCGTGGCTTTGGAGAATGGCAACATTGACACCGTCACTCCAAGACAATCAGAGGAGCCACACATCAAGGGATTTCCAGAGGAATGGCTGAAATTTCCAAAGCAGGTTGCACTTTTTTTAATAGGATGGAAAATGCTTGTTCTGTTCTTCTTACCCAGAGATCACATATGTTGGGCACTATTCCAAAGAATATGCCCTTAAATCTGTCCTTTAAAGAAAAGGGGTGGGGGATTTTGTAAATGCCTTCAATATGGGGGGAGGGGCTTAGATGCTTAATGGCTCTTTTCTTTGTACATAGGCCATATTTTCTGTAAGCAACCCACATTCTGAAATTGTTTTGGTGGCCAAAATTGAGAAAGTACTAATGGGAAACATTGCAAGTGGTGCTGAACCTTATATGAAGAATCCAGACTCCAACAAGGTAATGCCTTATCTTTCTTCGAAATGATTTCATTGCTTTCAAGAAATAAAGTCTCACTGCTTTGTAATGATCATTTAATAAATGTACGTCTTGAAATAGTTAATTACTAGTGAAGTGAATATCCATCCATGTTTTACACTGTTTTTTTGGTTTATGCTTTTTGACCCAGCAATTACTGCTTCCTGAAATATATTTAAATGTGGCAGTTAAGTCTATGAATCCAAGTATTAACAATAATGTAAATAAAAAACTCACTGCCGTTGAGTTGATATCAACTCATAGTGACCCCTCCTTTGGTTTCCGAGGTGGTATCTCTATGGAAGTAGACTGGCCCAGTCTTCCTTCCAAGGAGTGGCTGTAAAGCTAGAAATAATCTGAATGTCTAAGAACAAATAAGTGCAGTTTACTAAAACATAGCCAATGCTTATGATAAACTAAGTGAAAAAATAAGATAATTGATAAAAAATAAGATAATTGAAAAATAGATAATTGCCAAAATATATTTATTAGATTATATATATTTATTTATTTATTTATTTATTTATTTATTTATTTATATAAAGACATATATATAAATATAAAGAAATATATATATTTCTTCACCTAAGTGAAGAAAGAGGTAAGGAAATACCATAAGTGGTTTGAAAGGTAGAACATGGGTAATTTTTTCTTTTCTACATTTTCTTTAATAATCAAATGTTACTGAATAATAGAAAATAAATATTAAAAATCTATATTTTCCATACAAAGGATATGCTTCACAGTTGAATTTGAGCATGTGGATCATCTTAGGGCAGTATTTATTATATTTGTGAAAGTCCTTAATTCAGAGTTCAGAAGCTATATGTATAGACCAAATCTAGCTTGCTTCTTATTTCTGTAAATATAGTATTATTGGTACACAGTGACACTCATTCAGTGATGTATTTTCTATGTCTGCTTTCCTGCTGGGAGCTCTGGTAGCGTAGTGCCTAAGGCACTTGACTGCTAACCAGAAGGCTGGCGGTTCAAACTCACCAGCCACTCCTTGGAAGGAAGATGGGGCAGTGTACTTCTGTAGTGATATTGCCTCGGAAACTCAAGGAGGGGTCGCTATGAGTCAGGTCTGACTTAACGGCACATAACAACAACAACAACAAGCTCTCCTGCTACATCAACAGAATTGAGCAGTTTGCTTCAGATACCATAGGGTCTACAGTGCCCCAAATATTTACTATATGACCTTCTCCAGGACAAGTTTGCTGTCCACTGCCTTAACCAATAAAAGAAAACATAGATGTGAAATATTATTGATAAAGTGTTTCATTTAAGATTTTAAGTTCTTTTAAGTCAGAGACAAAAATAAAACTGATATTCCAAATGTAGGGTAGTTAGATATTTGGGATTTCCAAATTGAAATGTAAGAAAAACATTATAAAATTGTTTTTGAGCACAGAGGATACATGTTGACTCTTTATGAGGTAGAATTTATGGGCCAGTGAGACAGCATTCTACTGAGTTTCAACATAAGATCATTTGTAAAAGTAGTCAGCATTATTTTACATGTATAGTTTGTAAAGTGATATTCTAAATAATATGTTTATTTATTTTTCTCCTAGTATGCACAAAAGATACTAAAATCCAACAGGCAGTTCTGCAGCAAGTTGGGGAAATACCGCATGCCTTTTGCATGGGCCGTAAGGTAGGTTGACCTTTTGGCCATTGCAATCACTAGACTACATAGGTAGTCTTCCTGGTAAGGTTTGGTTTTGGACACCCTTGCATTACTGGTTATTTTTAATATACCAGTGCCTAGAAGAATGCTAACATTTTCATCATATAAACACCTTGAGATTTCTACAACCTTATATTTCACGAAACAGTTTAAGCGAGACAGCTCATACTAGGTGGAGGTCATGGCATGTGTGGTACCTATCAAATCTTGGTGGATATCAGATCAAAGTCAGAAGTTCTTTATAATGTATATTCAGTTCAACAAACCCTTGGTATTATGTCAGTTCTATAGGACTGGTATGTGTAAAATTCAGGGATTTCTTATGTAGTTGCGTGTTTTCATCTGCACTTGGAGCACAGATGTATATATGGAGGTCCATATGAAACCATCAAATTGATCATTTAACGTTCTTGATTTTGGTACTGATTTGCATAGCTAAATGTATCGATACCAGTTGACTCTTTGATGGAAATGCAGTGTTATGTAGACAACAGTGATAGAATCATATACCTGGATATGTGGTATAATGTCTGCATAAGAATCAAAAATACTTTTTGTATTTGCTTAAGCATCCATCATTACTGTCCACCTCAACCTCTTGAGTATAATAATTATTTCATAAAGGAGGAAAAGCTTGGCAAAGCTCATAAGAGAAAGAAGGCCAGCAATGTACAAGCCGAATAATGA